ACCTTAGAGATTTTCAAAAGCTGTCTGGACACGGTCCTGGGTAATTGGCTCTGGGTGACCCTTCTTGAGCAGGGGGTGTTTGAACAAGGTGACCTCCAGAGGTCCCTTCCAACCTCAACCATTCTGTGATTCTGTGATGGATACTATTGCTGTTATATATTAATCAAAGACAGCAAGATGCAAACTTAGGACACAGCTCCGTATCACTCCACAACACTGTCTTCCACTTGATGCAGCGTTCCTATGCATATTACTCAAACTCATAATGACCCATGGTCTCTCCATCAGCTCAAATCACATTCACACTAATCTTTCCAAACCACAGCAGCCTAAAGCCTCCAGGTTCTGTCACTGAATTTCCACATTTCCCAAACTTCAAACACTCCTCTAACCCTACTACTTCATGGCCCACTTTTGCTAGATAGGCTTCTCCATTAAAACAGTTAATCACTGCTTTGAAGAACCCATAATATCTGGTTGCTTGTGTACCAGGAGAGAGAAATACAGGTGCTATCAGAAGTGGGTAATCCACATATTTTTGGCTTGCTACAGGTAATTCTTCAACATAACTCATTTAGCCCTTAGATAATTTTCTTCACATCTTGTTCCATCTTTGAAGCTTTGTGAAACTTACCCAATCACTTGGGATGCATGCTGCATGTCTCAAAAGATGACAGAAATACATAACAAAGAAAGGGAAGAGTAACCATGAAAGGCTATAATGAATAGTTGAAATTACAGCAAAAGCAGAAATAAAATTCCTGGAATTAACTCCAGACATCCACGAAGATATGATTATCACATACTGTTCTGAAGCTGGACAATTCCAAAAACTTCAGTAAAAAGGGTGCAAATTCTTGTCATGAAGTATCAGCGTCACATACTGTTTTACTAAGTGTATATTATCAGCCTGAGTGTAGCTCAGCCGTTTACATTTTAATCTTCTCATTGAAAATCTCACATATAAAATGTAGATATGTTTTAACATATCTGAAACAGTTGCCCTTGCTCTTTTTCTTTTTTTTTTAAAAACAAGAAAACTGTTCCTTAGTCTAATCAAGGCTCAACAGAACCTACCACAAACTACACCTGCAGAAACTACAGTGAGAGGTACCGCGACTCAATATTCACATTCCCAGACTTGCCTACAGAAACGTGCCCTTCCCAATGCCTTCATTCTGAAGGTTGATGGTATCAGAGAAGACCAAACTCTGCAAATCATCTCATGGATTAAAGGGAGAAGAGAAAGGGACATGAGAAATGAAGTGATATGGGCAACAGACAGCAGAAAGGTTAGCAGGGTGACGAGAGAGCAGGTACTCTGACGACACCGCGTGACGTTCACAGCACGAGGAATGTTCTCAATGACACCACTCAGGTCCATCCTGCTCACAACTGCATGAACTTCCAACTGCTGTTTTACGAAGGCCAAACATGAAAAGGGTTTAGGAATGTTTCACCCTGTAAGCCTGTAATCAAGAAGCACCACCTAAAAGCAGCTGCTTACTACGAACTCAGTCTTTGTTGCTTTCAAATCTATACTATGTAAACATCACGTATTCCCACAGGGTATCACACGGACGTAAGGCTTGACTAGAGCCTGAATTCAAGATTTCTGAGTGTGATGCCTGTTCATGTAGTAACACATTCAAGACACTTATCTTGTAAAGATGTAAATATATTCACTGACGAGAGTCCGAAAACTTTGGTGCACATCCTGAAATGCCAATATGACCAAAATACAGTAACAGTATGGCACAAACATAGTATTAATTTCCTTAAAATTCAAATTTTACTTATCCTTGTGTGGTTTATCTACACAATGTCTAACAGTTCTACCACTGTAAAGCATAACTCGTATAACTCAGCATTCCTTCCCATAAAAATCTCATGCTTCAGGAACCTCTGATACAGGAAACGCTTGTATTTAAACATGTATTTTATATATATTATGCACATAAATACATGAAAAAAGTGTGATTTAACACATACATATAACATACTATCAACATCATGTTTATACAGTAAAGGAAGAAAGAGTTTTAGACAGAAATATCTAAACACTGACTAAGATAAAATACGTAGCTCCGCAGTCTTTCATACTAAACAAAACCAGGCTCGGACCTGATCGCAAGGCATGCCGAGCTCCCGCAACCTCCCAGTAAAATCACTGAGGACTGGTTTTCAACACTGCCCAGGATCAAGCTCTCAGCACCTCAATATAACTACTATTAAGAAATACGCACAATTTTTAAAAAGAATTAGCTAGAAACAGGCAATGCTTCAGATTGTAGCAAAAATAACTTCACCTAAATTTAAGTTAATGTTCCTTGGATCAAAGACTTTACTTTTTAAAAAGTGGATACCTGCGGTCCATCTCTGGCTTCATAGAAGTCACCCACTCCTATTTTTGCACTGAAGCTGAAATTGTCCCTTGAGATATCCATTATTCCATTTCTGCTGAGATACTGAAAAAATCACATATTTTTCCACTTCAGCTTGTAAATAATTACAACCCAGCTTTGATGTACAGCTAACTTTGTGAGTGTAATGTTTTGCATGTTCTATCAAAGGGATATGCATTTATAGGAGATCAAATCAGTAACAGACTGAGATACATTATGCCTCACATCACAGGATATTTTGAAATAAGTATCTTTATTGGAGGGAAAAAATTAGTGATTTTTAATTGCAAGCATGCTTAGTAGCATTAGAATACAGAAGCTGAAAAAAGGAATGTACCTTTACTACTTCAGGATACTGTCTCAACTTCTTTCCACAAGGTGCAAAATACGCTACTTCTCCTTGAAGACGACCACCGAAGTTTCTTATTCGGGTTTCTCTTTGCCAGCTAGAGTAGTATGAAATAGTTGCATACAACAATACACTTTTTAAAAAAACCAAGTAATTAATCTCAATTTAAGATTTTTACATAAAAGGAAAAAGGGACATATCTAAAATATGACAAGAGTATCATAAATAAGCAAAACTAGAAATTGTTATTATGTAAATTGTCCAAACTCTTGCCTACATATGGATATATTTATATCAAGCTACTTACATACTACCAGATTTTAAATGGCTTAGAACTGTATTTCAATGAGTTATTTGGAGTCTACACTGGCTCAGATCTAACCATCAGTGTTAATTTCCAGTGGCAAAATTGCCAAGAGACAGGTCATATTTGGAAAAGAGTAAATCTGATGCCCAAAAACTAACACATGAAACACGCTGACACTTTTAAAGAAATCCACAGTCACTGTGAATTCAAAATCTAAATCGCTGAAGCCCTTTCCTTATTATTCAGCCTCAAAATTTTTAAACTGTCATTTCTTTACCAACCGACTTTTGAAGGTATTATCTCCTTTCAAGGAATATCAAGCATAAACACAACCTACCCATATTCAAGAGGAACACGCAGCTCTCGTTCATCTGTTACTCTTCGTCTTTTTGAGAGACCTAAAACAGAACTTCTGATTAACACCTAAGAGAATTTACAAAATGAAAACACGTTCCTAGAATATATTTTTTATCCTTATAACCCTTAACAAAAATTTAAATAATTTTTACATTTTAGCCATAAGATACCTCAAGTACCAAGAAAATTAACTATTCTCCTTTTGAAATACACTTTCCTCTAAGTTTCCTTTAACCTTCTCTTCTAAAATTACAAACAGAGGAAAACCTAATCACGCCATATTGAACTGCTTGCCTTGCTTGGCTCTCTCAGATATTGCTGAAATAATTCCTTGCACACCTGTTTTTCTACACTAGACCATATTTAAATTTTTTCAGCACAAAAAATGAAAACACTCTTTACTTCAAAAATCTCTATACTGTCATAGACTCGGCCTTCAAACAGCACCACTTCTTGGACACATGTCTGCAGTCTTAACACAACTGACTATCATGTTACTTCTAATAGTCCCAGTGGAGGGAGGGAGATTACTTGCCCAAGTATAAGTGAACTGAAAACATTCTTTGTCCAGTGAAAAACAAATACAGAGAAGAGTCACAAGATCCCTTCAGTGACTGACCAGCTTTAGGTAAAATGGACACAAAAATATTTTCATTGTATTATGTGAGTCTTATTAAGAAAAAGTACTACACCTAAAACAAGAACACAAAATTAATTTATTCTACCTTCTACCTCTGTAAACACACAAAAATCTTCTATCAGCCTTTTCAAAGCATCATAAATCAACACAGATTCCTGTGCAAAAAGAATTAACTTTGTATTTTAACAATTTGGATTACTGCTAATGCATGGGAAATTGTTTACAAACAGTGCAATTAATAGGCCTGTTTCTGGGGAAAAACATGAAGTAAATAACATTACGCTGCTTTAAAGTTAATGCCCTTGACATGGAATGAAACTCCTATTCCACTGAATCCAAATAGAAAAAACAATTTATGAGCGGATGTCCCCATTTAAAATCTACTTACTTGCATGTTTATTAAAGATCAAGTTTCTAATTCAAAGTACTAAACATGCAATTTCATTTAATTGTTACCATGCAAATTGAGAAGCGTGACTTTCAAAAATGCTTTCTTTTCTGTAGCAGTTGTAATTACTAAATCTTACAAATTAGTCACCAAATGAAGGATTATAAACACTATATAACATCAGGCAAATTCCGAACATACATTTCATGAACCTTTAAAAAATAATTCCTTGCACGCCATCTATAAATTCTACTTAGAATTTTGAAAGAATAATTAATAGTTGTATCTTAACTAAGTACAGTTATTAAATTTGTTGAGGAAGGGGCAGAAATAGAAGATTCAGAATGCAAACTATAACGTATAGAAAACAAATAACTCATTTAGAATAAAAAGGTAAATAACAAAGACTAAATAAAGAAGAGTGTAGTATACACCAACTCTGGCTATTTCATCCTATCTTCTCTCAAACAATTATATGAGCTAAAACGTCCTGGAATAAGTGTAATGTTCAGGTCTCGAGAACTTGCAATTCTGCTGACTGAACTTGATGTCTGTTGCAAACACCCATGAAAAGATAACTTAACCACAGAATAGCCCCGGTTGGAAGGAACCTCAGAAGATCATCTGGTCCAACCTTTCACAGAACAAGGAGCCCAGATGAGATTATTGAGCATCCTGTCCAACTGCATCTTGAAAACCTCCAGTGACAGGGACTCCAACACATACCTGGGGTGGCTGTTTCACTGAGTGATTGTTCTTACTGTAAAAAATTTCTTTCTTATGTTGAGATTTCGTTTGATACCTGTCTCTAAACTACTTCTAGAACTACTTGTACAACACATGGCACTTAGACGTTACATCGTACTACAACAAAAGACATTGAGATACCACAGTGTGTACTTGGTGTAAGAGCAGATGGTGGTGTCCCAAGAAAAACTGCAGGCTGGGACTCAGGACATAAGGCAGCTGGCACAGAGCTCGGGGTCTTTGCTACTTGGAGATTAAGTGGAGTAGAATGAGCTGCAACGCCAATGGAAGAGCTCTTCAAAGATGATGAAGTTTTACTCAGTTTCAGTGGAGTTTTTTCTCCCTCAGTGTCTGTATCTGACTCATCTTGATCTTTATCATCTTCATCATCTTCATCCTCAGACGCTTCTGTATCTGACTCAGAATTACTGTCAGATTCTGTTTAAAAAAAGTGTGGCAAAAGGCACATCATGACTTGGTAATTAATGGCAAATACATTAAAGTTTTAACGCAAATACTTTTGTCTTATTAAAAGAGAAGCTTTTCTGACTTCATTTTTTTAATATAACCTCTCGAGTATAAATAGAAGGCTGTAGTTAACTACCTAAACTTTAAAATTACTACAAATATGACAGCATAAAGTAATTCTGCATGACAACGCACTGTTGCTTCGGATGGAATTCTTTGATTTTCTATGAGGAGATGAGAGACAGAAGCTGCAGTATTGTAAGAGACTGTTTACCCAGAATGACCTGGAGCTAAAGACATCCCCTGTGAGCCAGGCAGGGGCTGAACCCTACCACAGGAAGGACACTTCACAGGTTGTGAAATCTAGCGTGAATAAGAAAGAAATGATGGAACTGGGTACAAGCTGAAAGGAGTCAGAACTGAAAGTGTGGTGATCTGGGCACATGAAGAGTTAGAGGAAAGGGTAGACAGGGTAAGGAACTGAAGATGGGCTACGGCTGTGAGGAAAAGAGGATTAGTATGGAGTGTGCGGACGAGAGGGAGATAGTGAATGATGAAGGCAGAGCTGGATCCAAGGGATACAGGCACACAGGGGAGAAAGCAGTGACTGGGAATACAATCAGCTCTTTAGAACGGGCCTTGCCTTTCGGAATTGCTTAAGAGCCTTTGAAATAGCAGTCTGAACGCTATCTATTAACACTGTGGTTCTTACAACTGTACTGGTAGTTTTCTCTAATCTTACTCATTATCTACTGTGCCCCTGAGTGAAGCCTAGAAGCATGATTTTCTTGCCACTCTTGACAATTTGAAGGACTCTGTTTAATCCTCTCTGGTTGAGGAAGCTTGTTCTGCAGGTTGGCTCTCTGCCCGCCAGAATAATTAACCACCCAGCAGCCCATTCTCTCCATTCGCCGCCCAGGCACCTTGCCACGTAAGCAGTACATGAGCTGCAGGCTGGGTGACTGATCTGGAAGATGGGTCTCCGAGAGCCTAACCAGAAGGCTGTGGAGTCATCTTTCCAGGACAGCTGAAAGTCTACTTCCTATATGATCAAGTATCAGAATACTTAAAACACGGATTTGGATATGACACAACGGGCGACTGGGAGACGTGCTACTTTTCAGGATATCTGTACGATACTCTGTGGGCCATGCTCCCCCAAAACATTCTACCCCTATTTTAAAATATGGTGGGAAATGTGTTTTTCCAACACTGAAATAATGAAGTTTCTGCTTTTCTTATTAAAAAAGTTAACCCACCTGATTGGCTATCATCAGAATCATCATCTTCGTCGTCCTCTTCTTCATCTTCATCATCGTCGTCATCATCGTTTGAGTCGTCAGAGTCTTTACTGCTGGGGGCATCTGAGTCTACCCCTCTGAACTGCTCCACCACCAGGTTTGCAGAATGAAGGCGGTGTTGTGTTTTTACTGCATTTACTGCATTATTGCTGACTGGTTTATCCTTTCCTGAACCAGGTAACACAGGAGAGGTAGAGGGCATAACAGGTGTCCGGTTACCAGTTGGTTTTTTCCCAGACACACTCAAGTTTACTGGCAAAGAAAACGGGGCACTACTAGAAATGGCTACACTTTCGTTGATCTTGGTATGGGATTTCAGTTTCGTAGTCAGTGCAAGAGGAGCCTCCTGGATGACGCTTTGAGTAACTCCATTGGGTTGGTGATTACCTAAAAGTGCATTTGTCAGGAATGGATTAGAATGGTTGTTTTCCAAGGATGTGAGTTTTTGATGAGCTGGTGAACTACACGTTGGTTTGGGGGTTGACAAAGCTGCAATAACCTTCTTCAGGTTCTTAGACGATTCTTGTTTCTTTAGCTGTGCTGCTGGGAATGTCTGTTTATACTGTTCCTAAAGAAATAAGAAGACAGAGGAATAAAATGTGAAGACTTTTTTTTTTTTAAATATTCAGGCAGGTGAACTCTATGAAATCTTCAACATCTGCTAAGCTATTTTTAGTAGGTCAAAAGTAGGTGCTAGCTATAACAGAAGAGATGAATAACTACAAGTTATGTAAGTCTCATGATTTTCACTGTAAATCAAGTAGGAAAAGACAAACTTAACTCAAGATGAAGCTGATCTAAATTATGTAGAGAAGCTTTTTCACTTGCTACGTTGCTCTAGACAGTGATTTTTCATAAAGATATTAAGCATCTTGAAAAAACAAATATTTAAAAAGCAACTACTCCTATGTACTGGCATAGGAAAAACCCCGCTTTTTACTCATTTCAGCATATAAAATCCCATTAGTTAATGCAAAACTAGCTTTATTAATTTGTTTTTTTCAAAGCACAAGGTATTACTAGAAGTACTGTGATATGCCAGGTTTTTTAACTCTGAAAAAGTAGTACTTGAAAGTTCTTCAGGTAAAACTTAATCAGTAGTGGCTCAGAAATGCATGTAAAGCTTACACTGTCTTTAGTCTCAAGACTTCCAAGGAAAAAGAAATATACATCATCTCTACTGGAAAAAAAATAACAAAATGGATGAAGAAGGTACATTTAAAATCAATTTCTAAACATTAAGTCAAATACAATTTGAAGTTATTAACATTTAAAACTGAATATGAAATTATGAAAACCTATAAAATAAATATTCACACAGTGCGGGCTTCCTGTAAAAGTTCTGAAGAAATCAAAGCACTGAACGTATCATCAGGTAAGGACTCAACCTGAATTTGACAGCAGAGGCCTCTTCCAATGGCAAAGACATATGTTTTCGTAAGTATCATTTATTTAACCATACCATGTAAATGACTAGTTTATTTGAATTTTATGAAATAACTGGGAGTTGAAAGGAAAAACAGTGTTTCTCTTCTGCTTTTCTAGGAAGAAAAACTATGTGATAAAAATATTTTTCAGTCCTCATTGAGGACTGTGAGTTAGCTGTGAATCAGAGTTCGGTTTACTCTTCACCAATACTACTTAGTTTAAAACAAAGTTTATTTTTAATTACAACACTTGACTTAGTAAATGTACTTTTTAATATACTTATTTTTACATAGATACATCAAGTCTCAACATTTCTAAAATGTTTCACTCACCCGTTTTGATCTTACATCGCTGGTCAAAGAGATAGATTCTTCAGAGGTATTTTTACTCCCTGCTTTGAGTAGATCAGGGGAAGGAACTATGAGTTTTAAATAGGTTTCCTTTTTGGCTTGATTTACCAAAGACAAAGGTTTCACATTGGGAACCAATCCCGTAGACTGTATTACACTTGTGTGTTTGTTCACAGATTCCTCCTTTGCCTGAGAGCTTTGGAAAATAAACGGAAGCTGCTGTGACAAAACCTGAGGCTGCTTCTGCTGGGACTGGAATGATGAGTGAGTCTGTGAATCAGACACAAGAGGTATCTGCTGGTGTGTTCTTTTTTCTTGGGACTTTTCATGTGGTTTTTGCCCATCAGTTTTCACATCCGTTACACCACTATGCATTAGCACCTGCAAAATACGTATTTTTGACTGTTCATATTAGATCAGTTAGAGAGCTTTAAAAAAAAAAACAACATACATCCATCATCAGTCCCCCACTAAACAATTATACTATTCTTGGCAGAGGATGAATGATGATAATTTTGAAATCGATCTTGTCATGTATTTATTGTTTAGGGAGTTTTCTTCCCCAGATAGTTTCAGCATGTGAATACAATGCTTAGTAGAGAAAGAGTACTAAACCATACTTGGTTTTAAATATATTTTTGACTGTAAACCTAGCAGAAGACCCAAGATTCCCATCTTGTTCTATGTGCTACCAGGAAAAGTAGCCACTCTACTAGGAAAAATGCAACTGTCGAAGCAATATCCGTAGAAAGATATTTTTCCAATACACTGTCAGCACATAGCACAATTCCTTTATATTTCTCAGTTTTTAAGAGAAAGAACAGTGTACTGTTAAACTCCCAGCGCGTAAGGAACAACAAAACACACACGTGCACACACACGAAGGAAACAAAAAACACCCAGAACACCCTGAAGCAAAACAAAAAAGAGTATTCTTAGCATTCATTAACGTGTAGTTAAGTAATTGCTGACTGATACAAATGTGAACAGGTCAACTTTCCACAAATGGCTTTCAGTGACAAGACTGTGAGCAGCAGAGTAAGGTGTCATACCTTGTTCTTGTTTTTGTGATGTGCTTCATTTTCAGAATCAGATTCATCATCTTCACTCTCTTCAGCACTCTGGTCGTCCTCCTCCTCTTCATCCTCTTCTAGATCATCAGAGTCACTACTACTTATGCCTTCACTTGAGGTGTCTGAAGAGGAGCCTGAATCGCTGTCACTGTTACTAGAGCTTTCCACTGCTTTTTTTCTGGGTTTCTAACAGGAAGATGAACACGCTTTTAATGGTTCAGCTTTGATTTGTTATATCATCTTATTACTATGCATAATCTCTAAAAAAACAGTAAGACTTTGGAGTAAAGTGATCTGCAATCTTTGAACACAACTGACTGTCTCTGCAGAAGACTAAAGAGAAAACTATATTTGTATTTAAATTCTTCGAAAGAACAAATATGCAGACCAGAATGGGAAAGTAAAAGAAGCAACACAATGTAGAAAAAGAAAGGTGTAAAACCCACAAGAATTCCAATGCTTTCTCTATTAAACTGTCTTTAACTCAAGCCACGAGTTTTCACGCTTTTACCCTTTGATTCTCTCCCCACTCCCCTGTGGGGGAGCACATAAGCAGCTACGCAGGGCTCAGCTGCACACCAGGGTTAAACCACAGCAATGGCATTCCATTTATTTTGTGAAATAGCTACGAAATGTGGAAGCTGTAGGGGGACCAAGTCTCATCTATTTGTCAGTTGGTGGGTATCTGTCTCTTTTTTTTCCAACTAGGTTCCCTTTATCAATTCCTGTGATGAACACAGTAATACTTCATATCATAATACCTTCTGCACACTGTCACACGCATTGCTTCACTGTTGGGAAAACTTAACAATCCAAGCATATTTGTATTGATTGTTTCACTGCTCAATGCAGAAAGGTGTCAGCTGATACTTCACACGAGGGACAACGATCTGAATGCATGCAGACACTTAAAACCAGATCTAAATAACTGTGCCAGTCTATGGCAAGTCTTACATGTTTCATTTCTGGTGTCCTTTACACCATATTTAAGTATCTTTTGGTCTAATATTTGGCACAGATGCAAAATATTTCTTCATGAAGGTCAATATCATAAAATGAAGGACAAGACCATTATTTGAAGCAATAAAAGTAACGATGCCTCCTGGAATCACACCTCTAGGATTCTATTCTATTTTTTCCCCTTCATGGTACTCTATTTATCTGTGTATGTGGAAAGGGAAACACTCAAAACAATGCAATAATACTAAAATCAGAAATATCCAGTTTATTCACAACGCTGATGAAATACATATTTGTAACATCAGCTTCTTAAAAGATGCATGTAACAGTCTGCATAAAGAAGAGTACGTCAACGGGCTTACTTAGCCGAGAGTGTTTCCTTCCACTCACCAACACTTCAAAACTTTTGCTATCGATCTACCTTTACAAAACGCGTTAGCTGCTGTATCTTACAAACCCATCTTTTCCTACTGCTGACAAAAACATAAGAAAATTACCATACCAAGAAAAGAGCCTGGAACATTCTTGTGAAAATGGAGGTGGGAAGTGCCAAGAAACATCCGACACAAGTCTGATTCACAAAAAAATACCTCAAGTAAGAAAAGGAGCAGCTAATTTTGACATAAAATTTAGTGTAACTTTTAAGCAATCAAATGCTTCAAAACAAATCAGGCACTTTACTACATTGTGAAACACAACTGCTTCCCAGAGAGTTTTTATTTTGTAAACAATTAGAATCTTTTGAGATAGATAAAACCAATACAAAGAAGTTGGATTAGCAGAATTCCACAAGACGGGATGGCAAATTAGTAGCTTAGAGAAAATGTAGTGATAGGGAAAAATTAAACTTGTGTATTTAGTGGATATAAAAGGATTAATCTTGATGGAGAAGTTTATATCAAATCCTTCATAAAAGGTAAAAGCAGCTGGGAAAACAAAACAAAATGCCAGTAAACTGCATAGAGAGGAAATAATTCAGACTAAATCAAATAACATAAGCCAGAAGGAGAAAAAGATAACTGTAAAGAAAAATGTCTCTGTAAAGACATTTAGAAAAACAAACAATATTTGAAAGAAATTCTAAAAGCTTGCTGACACAAAAGAGAACGGTCAAGAGAAGGAAAAGTACAGACCAAAATGGAAGCACTGTTTTACTTCATTTGAAATATACTAGAAAGAAAAAAGGAGAGCATTAGATTTCTGAAGACTTATGTAAGATATTTATAGAATATTAAAAAAAAATATTTAGAAAAAGATAAGATGCTTCAAGAAATACACTCAGTAAAAAAGTTACTCAAGTTATATTGAAAGAGCAAATTTCACTTCGACTCGTTCCTTTATTGGCAACAATATAGTCATAAAAGTTGAAGCACAGTGGGTTCAATTAAAATAAATTTCATATATGATTTTGGTTCACTGACTTTAGCAAACACGCTGGATGGTTATGGAAATTGAAAATATCCATTGTTCAGAAAGCAATAATCTAGACTGAATACAAATACCAAGAAAAGTAGCTCGACCTTAATAACACAATGGGGTAGTCCCATAAAAAGGTGACTGAAGTGGTAGTTCAAAAAGATTTTAGTCATGATTTGAAAGTACTGAAGTTTAGAAAGGAAATACAACATGGTAATTGCCAAGGAGACATATTAAAGGTAAAGGATGTTACTACAGTTCATAATCCAGCATCCTGATGCTAATCCTGTAATCCAGGTAAGTAAAAGCCCTCGATGAAAGGTCTTGGGTTTCTATCTCACCAGCTGCCCACAATAGTAGGAGAATTTCTCTGAGCCAAATGAGACTCAAGTTCACCAGTTATGCCTTCTTTCCCTGGAGACTGTTGCTTTACCAATGCAACAGTCCTGCTGACCTTCCTCATCCTGGAGATTCACTAATGCTATCAACAGGGGGGCAGTCAACTTGACATTTCTTTTACGAGGCTGAAGCAGCACATTCAGATGAATGATCATGTATAAAGTGTACCTGTTTATTCAGTTTTATCTTGGACACAAACGGAGCGGGCTTAGGAGAAGACAATTGAAGCAGGCAAATGTTACCAACGCAGTGACCAACACAGCAAAGCAAAAAGGTAACGCAGTTACCACGTTTTTGTGCATAAGAATTAAATCATGGATAGTGTATTGGACCATCAGGATGGCATCTTATCTTCAAAACAACATTACTGTGCTCAACAGACACAACATGATACACCACAAACATCCAGAGATGAGTGAGGATTTGGCACTATTTTAAACTCATGTTTCAGACAGATTGTGGTGTATCATTGTCTGGTATGTGCACCCTTCCGAATGACCAAATACACACCCGAGACAAAAGGAACCGGATGAGAACTTCTAATAACTACAGCTTTGAAGATCAGATGCTTCTGTCAACTCAGAACTTGCCTTTCACACACTATCAGCAAAAAAAAAGTATATAATACAAGTTACTATCAGATTGCACTTTAGGATTCCCCAAGGCGGCAGGAGAACAGAACTATAATTCAACCAAGAAGAAACCATTGCACAAAAAGTAGTAACTCTCTACATTTTCACTAACTGTAAAAACAGCCTGGTGTCAGCTTTGCCTTTTCTTTTTTAAAAAAAAGGGGAAAAGAAAAGATTAAATACCAATGTCAAAAGAAAATTACAACTAAGGATACGATTGAAGAAATCAGCAGATGAATATTAAAAAAATAAAAACTTAAAGAAAGGAACACTTAGAGAAGTACAATTAAAATGTTTCAAAATAAACTGTGCTCTTTAGAAAAAGACACGAGTGTTGTCACACTTTGAAATTTAAAAACATAACACCACTTCCACAAAGCCCAGCATGAAACACTCTGTCAGCTGACTGCCCCCTGCTTAGCCCTCTGCCTTCAGCTCCAGTTGTGGCTTCCTTCTAACATACTGAAATAAAAATATTGATTTTTTTTTTTCATGGTTTTGTTTTTAAATCAAATCTCTTGATCTTCCCCTCATGTCCGAGTTCTCACTTAGAGTATTCTGCATGTTTTGATTGGAAAGCTTGTTCAAATCATGACATTGACAAATAACAATTATCTCCAAAAGTTTCAGAGGAAAAGAAGATTAAGGATTAGAGGAACATCTAAAATGTCAGCATATCGATTAAGACCAAAAACAACAAACTCCACTTCAGTATTAGAAAAATTACTACAGAAACTTAGGAAGAAAAACTGTTGACAACCTGAAATTTATCTGCATTAGACAGACAATTTAAACGTCTGCATTAGATAGATCATTTGTTAAGATACAAAACTAAATAAATTTATGAAAGGAGGTACGCTAATTGATTGAGCACATTGTTTTACAGGAACTGTATTTGGAAATTGAAACTTGAGTTTGAAATCAGTAGTCACACATCAAAAGAACGTGTACCAAGGATACAGAATTTATACTTAAAGAGAAATGGTAACACGAAGGACAAATCCGTAATGCTGACAAACATCCTGACTGAAATTTCGGGGAGGGTGGGGGGAGAAAAGCAAAAAGAGGTGAGATTTTCAGTGATAACTCATTAACAAGTAACTAGCTTAACCAGTTCAGTTTTCTGAATAAGACAAAGAGACAAAAAGTAAACAGAAAAGAGTCTGTCATTTACTTATGATATAAACTTTCAGAAAGGGATTTGGAGATATTAAAAGATAGTAATTTATGTGGTATTCTGCATAACCGCAGCGACAGTCAAAAATGCAGAGACATTATCTAGAAAAAGCTTTACCTCTGTGCTATAGAATCAAAGCTCATGTTTTGCACATAAGATACCCAGGATAAAAGCAGAATTTTGGAAAGGAAAGAGCCATTGTGAGTATTTAAGCCTGAAAAAAAGTCAAATATTTCCCAAATACCTGTAACTACTTTAATACCTTCAAAAACTGTCAACTGCTGAACACCTAAGGAATGTTTTGAGGGAAAACATTCTTTAATATGTTAATGATTTCCCTATTGTCGATATTCAATTAACTACTGTTAACTATTTTGATGCTAACACCTATTTTTCTGCAGACATATGCAAACACCAACTGTCCTGTTAAAATGCCAATCTCTCACCTAAGAACACACAGATTTGGGAGCTGAATATAATGCAATAACAGAAACAGAAAAAAGTAACAGGCCTAATTCACTCACAAAACAAAAATATAAACTAACATCAAGAAACAAAATTGTTTTACCCTAGATGGCTGACAGTAGGGAACGACTCTCTTAGCTTCTATTCTGACAGTAATCAATTGCCCAGTATCTCATTTCCTGTGTTTTGACTAAATAGTTTTGATTCCAAGAGTAGCAAAGTTCTTAAGGAGTGCTTGGGTCACTATATAAGGTTTACTAACTCACTGAGACTACTCAAGTCTTTCATATTAGATGGTTGTCTTAAGTCTTTTGCTGAATCATGGTCATTAATAATACTTCTTTCCTCTGAAAAATAGGAAATTACTCCCAGAGAAGCATTTTTCTTTTAAGGTCTAAAAGTTTCATTTTTCTTCTGAAATTTTTTGTAAGTTACATGAAAATATAATTAAACAAACATATAATTTATAAGAGGTCGAAATTTATAATTGTAATACAAATATTTATACTGTAATATAATAGTATCAAATATTGGTGTTAAAAGTTATATAATTTATTTTTATAATTATACAAATTAAATAAAACTATGTTATCACACTCAGCAGTTAACTAGTGGAATTAGTGCTAACGGTATCTTTTGGTTCACGTCACACACACAAAAAAAAAAAAAAGAGACAAAGGTACACATCTTGCTCAAATAAATAGTAAGAACGACCCAAAACATTTTGTACTGGGAGAGAACATCTAAAAATGCTGCTGTGTGCGCAATCAGAACACTTACCATTTGAATTTTTTGTCTGAATCTTAAGTTTTTTTCTGTATATTTACCTTATCTTTGATTTTGTCAGCTCTGGTGTCCAAAAGCTGCACTTTGCTTTGCTCCTGGTTGTATTTGCGGCCTCCTGCTCCTGACATTACAGCTTTCACTTGTCCTGCAGATGTTGCAATGCTAGTGGATAGTACAGACGTGCTGATACCAGACACTGCAATGGTGCTGTTCCCATTCAGTGATCCATTTATACCTTCAAAAAAAAAGTCTGAAGTAGCAGATACATTCTTTGAGATGTTCCAGTCACACTACCCTGGCTTCCATAAACACGTAACAAGATACTAGACTCACAGGTTACTCTCAACATATACTAAAAATTTGCCTTCCAAGAGTCCTTTGATTTGCTCATGGAGTTATTTTAATTAAAATATTTAGAGAAATCATGACTTAAAGCACAAACACATTTAATGCTGTAAGGAGGGGGGAAAAAAAACAACAATCTGATATTGTCTATTTTTAAGCCCAAAGTATCCTTGAGTTTAGTCAAGAGCAGAAAAATAGTATTTTGAAGAAAGAAGACACAAAAATGCACATTCCAGATAATACCTTGCAGAATGATTTGTTTGCAATTTTGAAGTATTCATCAGCTCCACAGAAAACCACATGAAGCCAAAGAGATTTTATGATTTTTGCATTGTGTAAAACAGCGTGAGGGGAAGCTGTGGCAATGCTATCTGAAATAACATCCACGGTCAAGCTTGGTTACTTATCTCTCAAGACAACTGTTGTTTTCTAAGAAAACACCCCTAGCCACACAAACTTGCTACTCTGCAATCCCAGGACTATTATCAGATTGATTTTGAAGCACACATCACATCCTAAAACCTACTGAAACAATAAAAAAAGCTTTTTTTGTACACCATAGAATCACAGATCAGAATATCCCAACTTGGAAGGGATCCACAAAGATCAAGTCCAAGTCCTGACTCCCCACAGGACAACGTAAAAGTTAAGCTATAGATCTAAGAGCACCGTTCAAATGCTTCTTGAACACACTGACAGGTTTGGGGCCACGACCAGTTCCCTGGCGAGCCTGCTCACCATTCTCAGGGAACAGCATTTTCCTAATATCCAGTGTGAACTTCCCCGACGCAGGTTGAAGCCATCCCCTCGCACGCTGTAACCAGAAACCAGAGAGGAGAAACCAGCACCTCCCTCTCTGCTCCCTGTCCGAGGAAGCCGTAGACAGCAATGAGGTCAGCCCTCATTTGATACAACCTACTACCAAACACCCAACAGCCCTGCCTTACACCTTCAATTACAGCCTTACACCTGGCTGAGCAGAGAGCTCTGGCCAGAGCTCAAGAAGAAAAAGAAAGACTATGACCTATGGAAGAAGGGGCAAGTCACTCACGAAAACTACAAGGATTCTGTGAGATGATGTAGGGAGAAAATGAGATAGGCAAAAGCCCAGCTGGAGCTTAATCTGGCAGCTGACATAAAAGACAGTAAGAAAAGTTTCTACAAATACCTTAACAGTAAAAGGCAGGTTAGGGAGAATCTCCACCTCTTGCTAAATGCAAGGGGAGAAATAGTGACTGGGGATGAAGAAAAGGCTGAGGTACTCAGTGCCTTCTTTGCTTCAGTCTTTAATGGCCAGACTCACTCACTGGGTGATGTGCCTCTAGAACCAAATGGTGGGATGGAGAGCTTTATCAGGGTTTCTTTCAAGAGCGACTGGGGATGAAGAAAAGGCTGAGGTACTCAGTGCCTTCTTTGCTTCAGTCTTTAATGGCCAGACTCACTCACTGGGTGATGTGCCTCTAGAACCAAATGGTGGGATGGAGAGCTTTATCAGGGTTTCTTTCAAGAGCAAACGGTAAGCGAACTGCTGCACAGCTTAAATGTGCAGAAGTCTATGGGGCCAGATGAGATCCACCCAAGAGTTCTGAGGGAGCTGGCGGAAGTGCTCACGAAGCCACTTTTTGTCATTTACCAGCAATCCTGGCTAACAGGGGAGGTACCAGCTGACTGGAGGTTGGCAAACGTGATGCCGATCTACAAGAAAGGTAAGAGGGAAGACCCAGGGAACTACAGGCCTGTCAGCCTGACCACAGTGCCAGGTAAACTCATGGAGTAGATTATCCTCAGTGCTATCATGCAACATGATAGTCCGGTTGTAGACCGGACCCTTTACATAGGGAGGTCTGCTCCCTTCCTGGGGCAACAGTTAGGGATGTAATAAAAAAACTCCCGTCTATAGTCAGGCCCACTGATTAGTAAT